TGTTATTCTGCAGTCAGTAGGGCTCTTGGAAGTGTGACAGGCAGGAGTGGAACTTGGTCAGATGTGTGTTCTGGAAAGTCCTCTCGCTGCGTGTAGAGAATGAACAGGCTGCATGTGTGCGTATGCTGGGAGGGGAGACAGTGAGGAGATTGGGACGTGCAGTGAGGTGGAGGTCATGGAGGCGGAGGGCTGGAGGAGAGAGGATGGACTTGAGCACAGTGACTCATCTTGGGGACCACGGGGAGTGGATGAGGAGGGGAGGGTCTTGGGCATGTAGGAGGACTGTCATATTCATGGGCACATTGGGGGAGGAAGCTGGGGGCTGAGAAGATTGAGTGTTCAGTTTGAAATGATTAATTTGTGGTGATTGGGAGACACCCATAGTAGAATGCCCTCCTCCATTGAGGACCCCAAAAGGCAATATCTGTGTGCCTTTTCCTTTCTGAAAGACCTTGCATTCCCAGGGGGCAATTCTAAATAGCCCAGGAAAACTCCCACAATTAGACCTAACCCAGACATTGAACCTCCCTCTGCTCAGCCCATTCATAAAGTGCCTCTGGCATTTAGGTGTCTTCTAATCTCATTTTCTCTGCTTGTTAATAGACCCACTGAGGCAGTCCTCCTGGGAGAGAGAGAAAGATTTCATTTGTCTGGGGCTGAGGAGGGAGACAAGGGTTGCCAGAGCGAATAAGGAATCAATGCCTTGTAATTGCTAATTAAATGAGCCTGGCTCTCTCTCTTGGGGCTATGAGTTGGCTGGCCGGCCCTTAAGTGTCCACAAATTCAATTATGCTTCCCCAATAAACACCTGCAGCAACCATCGCTCTCCGGTATCTCTCTGGGGGAGACCTAGAAGAAGGATCTTCCTGTGTTTGCTGAGGCCATTCATTCATTTATTGATTGATGTATTGGTTTATTCTTTGATGCCTTTATTGATTCAACACATGCTTATTGTATGCCTGCTGTGTGCCGGGGCCCTGGACCAGGCACTGGGGACACAGCAGTGAAAATACAATCTTTGTTTCTGTCCTCACGGAGCTCACAGTGTAACAGGGAGACAAATAGACCTGTCAGTAGATAACATGAAAATAACTGGACTATGTGCTGCAGATACAATATCCTAGGTCTATGAGAATGTCAATACAGACTTCACGTGGGCAATGGTGAGGCAATAAGGATCATTTCCCTTGATGAAACGGAGCTTGCAGAAGAAGGCAGGGTCAGTTGTGGGGAGCTCTGGGTGGAGGTGGGGGGAGTACATTCCAAGCTGCAGGAACAGCAAAGGCAAAAGCCCTGAGGCTGGAGAACAGGTACCATGTGGAGTTTGTCACTCGATTAGGGTGTTGCAGAGAATTAGGGGAGAGTCTTATTTATTTATTTATTATTTATTTTTTTATTGAGATGAGGTCTTGCTATGTTGTCCAGGCTGGTCTCGAACTCCTGAGCTCAAGCTATTCTCCCACCTTGGCCTCCCAAAGTGCTGGGATTACAAGTGTGAGCCATCACACCTGGCAAAAGAGGTGAGCCTTTATGATGTCCTAAGTCACCACCGGGCACAAGTTCACACTTGTCCTATGATTGGCCCATGACACTGATGGGTAGCAGACAGGAAAATAATCTTTTCTGAAACTTTTTTTTTTTTTGGTACAGGGTGGTGTTCTGTTGCCCATTCTGGAGTGCAGTGGTGCAGTCACGGCTCACTGCAGCCTTGACCTCCCAGGCTCAAGTGTTCCTCGCACCTCCCAAGTAGCTGGGACTACAGGCATGTGTCACCTCACCCAGCCAATTAAAAACAAAACAAAAACAAAACAAAACAAAACAAAAAAAACATTTTTTTGTAGAGACGGGGTCTCACTATATTGCCCAGGCTGGTCTCAAACTCCTGTGCTCAAGCAATCCTCCCATCTCATCCTCCCAGAATGTTAGGATTACAGGTGTGAGCTCCCACACCCAGCCCACTTCTGGAACTTTTATTGGAAAGTACCCTTAGGCTGGGTTCGGTGGCTCACACCTGTAATCCTGGCACTTTGAGAGGCTGAGGCAGGAGACCATGTCTTTCCAAAAAA